GAGAGGAGCGAGAGGAGCGAGAGAGGAGCGAGAGAGGAGCGAGTGAGAGGAGCGAGAGCGAGCGAGAGATCGAGCGAAAGAGCGAAAGAGCGAGCGAGCGAGCAAGACGGAAGGAAGAGATACGGTTAAAATGGAGTGAAATTTAATACACGTTGTATGATTTACTTTGCGAATTTCGTTGGCACCCGCAAATGATGTAAATATCAAGTTATGCGCTACAGCACATTATTACTTGCATCCCTGCTTTGCTTCCAACAACCAACAACTACTGTCCACGAATTCCCGGAAAATAGTCCGTGACCCGCTTTCGCCCCCACGGAGCGGCTATAGGTGATTGCAAGTGACTTAAGCTCTGCGTTTGAGTCTACCGCTCCCCCCCCCTTAAAAAAATTGAGTTCAAAAAAAGGGGCGGCACGACAGTGCATGGCTTATTGCCACATTCTACGAAAAGCCAACCCATACGGCAGCCTCAGCAGCAAGGAGTCGCATTTTGCGGCCGAACCTATCGCAACTGCCTGCTTGTGCTGCTAGTGCCTTTTGCTTTGCTCCGCTGGGCCATGGCTGTGCCGCGCGCTCTGCGCTAGCTCTGCTGAACCGGAAGGGAAGGCCTCGGCTGCCCCGGCCGCCACGGCCTGCATTGGGTCACAAGGGATTACAGCTCAGTCGTGGCTAATCCGACTCAGCAGCGTGCTCTCTGCGCGCGCACTAGTCTCCCATTGCGAGACCGCAAAACTGACAGTAATTATGACAGCGTTATATCCGTTTCTGTTTGACGTCGTCGTCGGGGCGTCGTCGGGGACGTGACGGTCCGCGCCCCCGGCCCCGGCCCCCGCGAAGGTGAGGGTGGCGGGCGACGTAGCGACGGCGTACGGGCGCCCTACACATGCAGGCAGGGTCGCAGAGCGTCGGCCGCTCCGTGTAATCCGATTTGGAACCGCGAGGATACCTCCCTTGGCTGTCGCGCTGGCGGAACCGGGAAAGGTGGCCGCACCTCACCTCACTTGTGGGGGTGGAGTAAGTGCAATTCCATGCTTTGCCAAGTGCCCCAACATTAAAGTGCTGTGGATGGGAACATACTGACAAAACAGGACAGGACGTTTCCAAGTTTATATTCAATAACGACACCAACTTTAAATGCATGCACAGTAAGGAGTACTGTACATTGTTGTAAAACAGCACAGCACAGTGACAGTGTCCTACAACCGACCTATTCAATCTAACTCTACAACTCGACATCTAAAACTAGCTACGATATTTGCAGCTGTTGTGATGACCAAGGGCCCACTATTTTTTTCCGCAGTCACCAAACATAGCCTGGACAACTAACGAGCCCCCCATTCATTGTGGTCACATATCATTCATTTATTCATTAATCATTTACTATAATATTTAAGACTCACCTGCATCGCTTCTTTGAAGAGGGTCCACGGCTCAAGCAACTTAGGAAGAGTGATGCAGAAGGGAACAACAAGTTGAACAAAGAGAGAGAGAAAGGAGTGCAGCAGGCCATCATAACCTCCAATAACCTCATGGCGTTAGGCGATGGAGAGACAGAACGTCTTGCGGAAATGAACTCGTGTTTCTTTTCGGTCCATATTCTAAATTAGCACTAAACTTTTACCAACGGAATGTTATGCCGACACAAAACTTCACAAAAATCACTTCCCCGTGCAAAACGTAGAGTTACAGGTTCGTTTGTTTTTCTTTCACTTTTACCGGTCACGATCGGCTGTGTTGCCAACTGACCGGATCGTGATGTTAGATGCTACACTTTCTTTCTCTTTCGTGTGAGCGGATAAATTTCAATCAACAAATGTCAGACGCCGCCGAGAGTGTAGGGAAGCGGACGTTCTGCATGTTCTCAGTTTAATGAGATCGTGAACTCCTCTTTTTCTTCCCGTTATTCGCGTCGCGACCGTGTTTGGGTCATCCCTGTCGCGGTGCTTTACGGTCCACGTTGTCGTGGTTTTCTAGTTGCATCGTCGCTTGCGAAATGCAGCAGCAGCAATTTGACTGCAGCACACTGCACGCGGCACTGCAGCACAGTCGCCGCTGCTGATCTGGTTCACCCCCCTCAGGTGCTACCCCCTTCTCCCCCGGCCCCCGGCCCACCCCTATCCTCACTGCTGACCCCGCGCGCAGTGCAGCAAGCAAGGTCTCTACACCATCGCGGGGTGCTTCACCCACCCCGCGCGGACGGACAGCGCGCGGACCCACCGGCAGCGGACGCATAGCGGACACGCGATGCTCGCGAGGATTATATTTTCCGGTCGAGCGGACAGCGCACTGCGCTCGCGGGGCCGAGGCTGGGCGGCGCGGGGAGCGGGAAGGCTTATGTAATTCTGAGCGCTCAGGGAGGAGGTAAAGAAGAGATGAAAACCATTCACATGTGACGTTATTAATACACATCACGGGGCTGGACGGGCAGGCTCATAATTAAAGCTCCTGCCCCTTCGGGTTACGTTTACAAGGGGAGTGAGGTGAACACAGGTTGAGAACGGACGGACGGACGGACGGACTGACGGACAGACAGACAGACAGACAGACAGACAGACAGACAGACGGTCTGCTGCGCCCCCTGGGAGCGAAGGGTTAGAAAGCGCGTCCCGAAGGGTTGGATTGAGTTCAACGGAGTCTGCCGCTGGCTGAACCCGCTGCAAGACGACGGTGTTCGTCTTCCTCCATGTCCAACAAACAAACGTCCACCTGGACGACGTCGTTGTTCCCTCCGCGACCGCCTGCTGAGCGTCACGGTGGTGTGGTTGTCGGGCGCCGCGGCGCTGTCGCTCGCAGCTCGGCGGGGGAGAGAGCGAGAGGGAGAGACTGGATATCAAAAGGGAGAGAGAGGGGGGAGGGGAGGGGGGGCGCTCGGCAGCAAAGCCCTCTTGCGCTTTATTCTAATTAATCTCGAGCGCGAGCAGGGGCTGCGGCAGCCGGGAGCTCATCCCTCGACTATAACCTCCTGACTCGAGTCAGAGAGAGAGAGAGAGACAGAGCGAATAGGTATGGGAAGGGAAACGAAGGAGCAAGAGAGGGAATGAGTTTGGTAGCGAGGGAAAAAAATACTTCCCCCCAAAAAATAATTAAACAAACATCGTGATTGTGCTGCTGCTGCTGCTGCTGCTGCTGGACGCTGATGTGCTCCACGCCGTCGAGAACAAATTAACTGAATGACTCGCTTTAGACGCCAATTAGCACTGTCCGGCCGCGCCACACGTACGCTCGCGTCTTACGCACGCCCCATTGCACACAATATAACACACACGCACACACACACACATTCACACACACACACACACACTCGCGCTCGCGAAGTGGAGCAGGGGAGGGGATGGGTGAGGGGCGGCGCGCACCGCCCGCCAGCAGGAGGGGGCGCCGTGGGGGTAGGCAACCCATCCACCGCCGACGCTCGGCGGGCCTCGAGGGGGCGGCATGCGCGGGGGTGCAGCTGCTCTTGTCAGGGGTACAAACAAGGTGCTGGTGGTGCTGCTCGCCGCCCGTGCTCCCCCCGGCGGGTCGCGGCTGCGAGAGGTCGCAGAGGTGGAGGGGTAGTAGGAGGGCGCGGCACAGCGACGGTGGTGGCCAGCAGCAGCGCACAGCGCAGCGCCCCACCCCCGCAACAGACGACCCTGGAGTGCCGTATCGACGCCTCGGCGGCCGTGCCCCCCGCCCCGCCACGCC